AGAAGCAGCTGGCGGCGAAGGCGGACGCGCGCGGCGAGGCCCGCCTCAGGGAGACCTTCGACTGCGCGCAGGATGAGGACTTGCAGGTCACATATATACATATTTATATAATAATAATAAAAATATTTCTTATTCTCTATATAATACATTATATAGAGAATAAAAAATAAAGATATATGGAGATTTAAATAATAATAATAAAACTTTATTTCGAGGAGATCTATTTGTTAGTAAAAAATGTTATTGACTAGTGTTGTAAAAGATATAACATCAATTAAAAATATCTTTATAAGTATGAATCCGTCGAGCCATAATACCTTCATCATAAAATAAAATAAAACATCCATCCACCTAAACTTACCCAATGATGATATTAGTATGATGTAAAAGTTTGAATGGATGGATGTTTGTCGATTTATCTCCAGAACGGTTAAATGGTTCTCGATGAAAATTGGCACAGATGTAGATCAGTCTAGAACAGTGATTCTCAACCTTTTTTTGTTGCTGCACATATTTAGCGATTTCAAAATTTGGCGGAACATAAAGAAAAAGATAAAAATTATTTACTTACTACACTTACTTAACACATTGCATAAATAGTTTATGACAATAATATGCAAAAATTTAAACTTCTTGAGAATCACTGGTCTAGATCACCATAGACTATTTATAATGTATAAATTAAATTTAATTACACACGGATGAAATCACGGGCAAAATCTAGTTACTAATTGAAATAAGTATAATTGTAACAACGTCCTCTAGTGATTAACAGAAGAAACTCTCCTTAGAAGTAACTAGTTTCAATGCGTGTTTTAGCTGTACTCCGATAGATGTCACTAATTAATAATAGTACCAACAACTGCCATTAGAGGTCTCAACTCTGTTAGGAAACACCAAAAAGTTCGAAATGTATTAAAAGGTGGGTTTTCATTGCTGAAACAATAACATAAAACATGTTTTCAACATGTTTGATGAGAATGTTTCGGCAGAGAAAACAAATACTTCATACTAATATTATAAATGCGAAAGTTCAGATGGATGAATGTTTGTTAGAGTTTGTAGCATAAACGGCTTACCAGATCTGGAAGAAATTTAGCATAGATGTAGAACATAATCTGGAAGAACACGTAGACTAATTACTTTTGTTCTTTTAATTCCACGCAGACGAAGTCACGGGCGAAAGCTAGTACAATGATAAATGTTTACGAAGTATAATAGCGTGTACATTTATATGTCATATCGCTCCGCGAGTGGAATTTGATGCATACGCTTTCCACTTTCATAAGGGGAACGTTATAGAATGCATAAAACGCGTTTTTACACGTAGTTCGCTCTTAAAAGGGAAAACGTTGTTCATATCATGTTTAATTGGAAACGGAATTTGAAATATTATCTTAGCACATCTAGATGATATATATCTCTAGTCTCAAATTATATCAATAACAATCATACTTCATACTAATATTATAAATGCGAAAGTTCAGATGGATGGATGTTTATTAGAGTTTATAGCCTAAACGGCTGAACGGATTTCGATGAAATTTAGTATGGATGTAAAGGATAGTCTGGAAGAACACATAGGCTACTTCGTTTTGATTTTTTTTTTATTCCACGCGGATGGAGTCGCGGGCGAAAGCTAGTTATAAATAATTTATGGACGCTAATTAAATTTTAAATAAAAGTCAAAGCTTAAAGAGCACTTGTTTTATATGTTTTTTAAATTACTTCTTACTAAAATCATATATCATTTATTACCTAAGTATCATTCGATTCAAATAAGAATGTACATTATACTTCATTGATGAAAAAAATTATTAAAAATTAACTTTAATTATCGTAATCAATATTTAGTATTTTATCTGTTTTTAAACTATGCAATAAATCGCACTTCGCAATTTCTCGTTAACGCACAGCAATAACGTATGTTATGAAAGTTTATTACGCGGATGAATTTTGAGGTTATCTTTAAAATTTAATTATATCCTATTACGCAAAATTTTATCGAATCAACAGACGTAAATTATCTATGCCTTAAACTAATAAGCATCCATTGTTAATTATTTAACAATTATTCAATTATTAATTAGTATTTTGCAATAACACGTTATTGTATGTATTATTACATCAGCACGGATATATCTTTTACATTTTTTTTTATTTTTAGAGGGGGCACCGCCTCTGTACACTCTCAGGTGAAGCCTCTGTACCATCTCTTTCAATTTTTTTTAAGATAAATATAGACAACAAAACTGTTCTTATCTATATAAAGAGGAAAGATTTGTATTTTTGTATACATTGAAATAACTTCAAAGTACCGGGTCATTTCAAAAAAATTTCACCATTAAAAAGCTACCTATCAATGAGTAATATATATTTATTAATATCACGCGGGCGAAGTCACGAGCAATAGTAGTTTCTTATATGTTTGTTCAAATCTATGGCTGCAATACTAATTGTACTCATGTATCGTAACTACTTATGACATGTTAAAAAACAGTATTACATTCGCATGTTACAGATCATTACGAGATATAACTCCCATGCTAGTATCTGAATCTTATTCAACAGCTTCTATATTGAATGTTATTTCCAGTTACGTACTGTTTACTCAGCGTAATCATCAAGTAGTTAATAAAACGCCATTCAATTTGGAAAGTGAAAAGAATTCTACTAATATTGAAAAAAAAAATAGACTCGCTAATTGATATACTCAGAATTATTTCAATGTCACCAAAGAAGTCATTTATACATCTTTACTAAGGCAGTAATTAAGTTATAATTAAAAAAAAACTGTTGAGTACCAGTGAATTGTTACGGGTAAAACATCGCAACGCAAAATGATTATGGAAAATATTGATTCCCGTATTATAATTGAAGTGTTCCACTTTATGATGCTTTTTGCGTCTCCGTTCTATTCTAAAACTTGCTTTAATACACCATCATTGCTCTGTCGGCATCTTTTAACTTCACCTTAACACGAAAGAAAAACTTTTGTTGTTACGATAGATTAAATATTGAAATATACATAGAATTTTACTTCCCTAGATTTTTCTTGAGACTTCATTTTCGCGTATTAAAAAAAGTAGCCTATGTTCTTCAAGACATCTAGACTATGTTCTATGCTGTGTCATAATACATCGAGATCCATTAATCCGTTTATGGATATACGTAGTTACGAATATCCATCCATCTAAAGTTTCCTATACATTATCAGTAAGATAATAAGTATGCATATATTCACATGTATAATATTTATATATGTAATTTGTGTCTCTACCTCCATTCTTAATATTTATGGTTCTGTTACTTAAAGGCGCTTGAGATATCTTACAAATATTGTTCTATGTAACGTAATTAGGTATCTCGCGTAGTAATTACGTGTTGCGTACATTATTTAGCGATTCTGTACTTTTTTGTAGTACCCATCCCGTCATACTTTCTCTGCTTTCGAGGCGAGAACGTTCGTAATTAACCGGGCTTCATAATTAAGTGTATACGGACCACGCCTGGCACACCGTGCTTGTTCTGTTAACATCGTTATATGTTTAGTCTTCCGGAAATATAGAGCACCAAATTCCGTTGTTTGTAAACAGTTCAAGTGTTGGAAAACTCTCACATTTTATTTTTACTGCACGATTTTCCTATAACTTAATATTACTTCTTACTAGTATTATAAATGCGAAAGTTTAGATGGATGGATGTTTGTTAGAGTTTGTAGCCCAAACTAGTGAACAGATTTAGTTGAAATTTGGCATAGACGTGGAGCATAGTCTGGAAGAACACGTAGGCTACTTACTTTTGTTTTTTTTTTTATTATTTCACGCATACGGAGTAGCTGTTGGAATCTAGTGTAATCATATTGCCAAATAATATTTTTTTACTCAGATTGTGTTATGTCTCTCTTAGAGTGTATGTTACCAATTAATGTTTCTGAGTGTAGCAACTATAATGTCGAGGACAGAGATTATATCTATACGAATTCATCAGACTGCAAAACAAATGTATCGTTCCGGTATGCGCTTTGATTGGCATATACATAGCTTTTCCCGCGATTTCCCTCGCAGCGTATCATGCGCAGTGCAGTGCGCGCGCGCCGTCGCGCACATCGGTCCGTTTTAAAAAATATAATGCATTTTGATATTAATATAAGCTCGAAAATAATACGTTCACAATAGTGAAGTGTTTGTGATGTGGATTTTGTTATACTTTTAATAATAATGTCACTGGATATAATGTTTTTGACGAATGATAATTTGCACCGCACCCGCAAAGAGCCTTCGGTGCTGGGACTCCGATATCGGGTATACAGGTTTTATTCTCGAAAATTTTTGACATTTTTTTTCTGTAAATAAATTCATTTTAAATTATAAATAATTGTTTGCAATATTTTTTTTTGGTATTACCAAAATTTTTCATATTACCACTTACGTGGTTTTAATAATAATGTAAACCATAATATATTTTTTTGGATATAAAGAGATTTAAAAAACATATAAAATTAAGTTTAATTTTGAAGTTTAATAAAATTTTATAATCTAACAAACATTGATTCGTCTGCTAAACTATTTAATATAGGTTTATTAGTTCTATAAATAAATTTATTTAACCTGTATAGTAACAATCTTTTCTTATCTAACTAATATTATAAATGCGAAAGTTGGATGGATGTTTATTAGAGTTTGTAACTTAAACTATTGTACGTATCTAAACATTTTGGCATAGATCTACATCTATTAATGTATTCTTCCAACCCTACGGTTGGAAGAATACATTAATTATTTACTTTTGTTTTTTATTGCCACGCGGACGGAGTCACTAAAACTAGTAATATCATAAAAGTTAATAATATAGTTGTTAAATACATTTTACTTATACCATAAAATGCTCGATAAATAATCAATTATCATAGGTGAGAATAAAAGCTTGTTACAAATAACAGATTAATTAGTTGCGCTGACATTGCGTTTACTATCGCTGAGAAATTGCAATTTGCATCGGATATGTTTCTACACATTTTGGAAAGTAATTTAATTAACACTTGCGAAATGTACACTAGTACAGTCAGCAACAACCTCGTTGAAAAATGTAAAATATTTTTTGATAATAGAAGTCTAGAGAAAGGTTGAATTTTAATACCTTTATAGATGAAAAGGGTAACATTATTATCATATAGTGCTGCTTATTCTAATTCCAATCTATCCATAATTGTATGAACAATAAGGTATTTATAAAATTGTCAACGAATTAATCATGTTTGGTAAATTGCTATTTCATGTTACAGAAATATACCTTTACTATTAAAAATAATGATTAGAAAAATGACGTAAAATATATTCGAACTAGTTGCTAGATTTCGTAATTGTTTTTGTCGCCGACTGTACTTCCAACACGATTAAGAGCGGATGATCGTTATGCGCTAAAAATCCGCGAATATTAATTGAATATTTGCATGCGATGTTCTCTATGTAGAAAAACGTCCCGGAAGACAAGCGGATAGTTTTAACACGCACCACACGTAACATTCATCATTCATACATTACCAACTGTCATATAACAAAGTTAAAACTGTAAAAGTACTCATTAAATGATTTTTTTACAATGAACTCAGTATGTTTTAATATAAATTAACTTATGCGAATCATCGATGTAGCTACCGGTTTACATAAATTTTTTGTGTGCTGTTTATGTGATTTAAAATGTTGTTTACTTTCCCTATCAACCCGCATGTTATTGTACTTTCTATACTTTACATTTTGTATTATTAATACGAAATTACCCATATCTTCACAAACTTCACAACATTGTAAAGACAATGACCTTAGAATGTGAACTTGTTTATACTGATTTATGTAAGAAATGAATTTTGAATCCATAAAGTTTTGGCAACTTACACTACTTTGGAAATTATTTACATATCTGCCTTTTTAAGAAGTAATTACTGAGCTTTTTTTCTGAATAATTCAATTATTAGTTTATTATAGTATAAATAGTGCCTATAACAGATGTGAAAATTTGAATCAGGGACTCAAAGATTATAAATTTTCTCTCCTATCTTATTACAGGGTCTGTCTAACGGAGTGGAAAATGATCAAAACACAGCTAACCAACTTCCATCTAGCGATTTAACGCACAATCGCCTATCGATTAGCTCCACTACGTCCAATCAGAGTTACGATTCTGGTAACGTAGATTACGCCGTACCCAAACACACCTACAACCAACGACTACCTTACAAACCGAACGAGGAAACAAACGAAAAGACAAACAATCAAGCGAAAATATCAAATCCACTGTTCGGTGTAAACGCAGCCATTCATTACGCACCTGCACCAGTAAATCAAGAAGCGAATGATAAATATGATAGAACGTTACCCAACGGTGTAAGAAAAGCCCCTGAAGGTCAGGATAATGAAGCGTTCAAGAATGAAGACGCGATAGATGGTAGGAAAGAGGTGATGGTGACTCCAAACCAGATCGCAATAACAGATGGCAGCACCGCGACCTACACCACAGATAATAATGGTAAAATCAATGTTCATGTCACCGTCATGATTAACGCAGGTAATTATATGCATCCTTACGAAAAATCTCCCTTTCTATATAGCACTGTTGTTGGAATATTGTCTGGGTGTAGCAATAACTTCGAAGACAAAAAAAAAATATTAAAATTTTCACATTTGTGATGGAAAAACGTCGAAATTATTGCTTTACACAGTATTTAGACAATATTCCTACTAATATGTATAAAATGAATAGCACATTGTTTAACAATTAATTGGTACAGATTATCTAACAGTATTGCACAGTGATGGTATTAAGATTTAATCCAAGTTTCGGAAACGGGGATCGTGAGGTAACTCAGGATGCATATGGAGGCAAGATTATTGTAGTTGCATGTTCCTCTATACCTTGTTACAATCCAAATTTATCGAGAAATTACATATTGAATTCGTAAATTTTAAAAATTCTGTAATTTTTCAATATTACTTCGTTTTACCTTAATTTTCATAAAATCATTAAAAAACGTGAAATTAGCGTTAGTCTTTTTTTGGATCGAAACTGGGTATAACGTTTTCCTTCTGCCTCTATTATTTTGCTCAGTTCCTTCTAATTTGCCAGTTTTTGTGCGTCCCAATTTCTTTTTTCAAATCCTCGTTTAGTTATGTTATTGTAGTATCACAATTGTTAGTAGATTACGTGCTGTTTTTTATTTTATATCTTTGGTTCTTCTATTTGTAGTGAATGCAAATTGCTTATTAGTTCTGATTGTTGTTACAATATGCTTGTCTTTGTGTAAGTTTGTATTGGCTGTAATCAAGGCTTTTAAAGTATTCATTAAAATTTAATAATGTTACTATTAATAAGATATGTTTCTTAAATTTTCTCATTTGGCTATTATAGTAAATATTCTAGCACAAGCTTTAATTTTTTTTGCCGTAGTTGAATAAAATGTTCACAACAGCGCCTTATCATGTACTTTACTGCCTATAAGCAAGATAGGAAAGTACAATGGTGTACATAGCATATAAAATATGTATTAAATTTGCTATTATTAGAGCCTTGCTTACAGAGATCTCCTTACAAAATAATCTGATTTTACACAATACTTAATTAAAATTTCAGGAACGTTAGCAGACTTAAAGAAACAAAGAGCACAAATAAGAACAAACGGAAGTCCAGTAGAGAACAGTTTACATTCAACGACCAACCATAGTATGAACTCGTTACCGGAAGGTGTAACAAAGCAGGAGGGGTCAAACCAAGTGGTGCAGTCTCCCAGCGTCACAGTGCCGAGGTTCTCGGGGCACACCAGTGAAGTGGTAGGTGATACAAAGTCACATCGGTGCTGTATTATTATGTAATGTATTGGACAAACTACCCTCAACTAGGTGGTTGTGTACAAGTCTGAATGTCATTCCAAAAAGTATTTTTTAAACTAGCCAACGATATTTCTGTTCGTTTTAATTGTTTGGAATATCAGAAATCAATATTTGTACAAATTCAAATTCTCTTAAATTAATTTCAAAAGGATTAAATAAATGAATATGGAGATACACTTCCAGTTATAAGATTCCGTATGTACTAAAGAAATAAATGCTATATACACATAACAATTAAAATGAATGGTTTAAATATCGTTTGTCGAAGCCTAATTGCCGCCTCCTTGGATAGAGGAAAAGTCCTTTTTTGCCATTTTGCCTTCGCAAAGCAGCGGCTTGCCAACGTAAAGAATGTGTGATAGTGACGTAAGAGCTCAACTTATATCGGTTAGGTAAAATATGGTAGCCGTTAATAATACGTAGAAAATTATTATTATTGTCTAGTTATTAATAATTGTTGTATATCTTTCGTTGTATCTTTCCTAATTAAACATTCCATTATTTTATTGATTATTTTGATGACATTGATGTTCGGAAATTATTAATTATTGCATTTTAATGATATTAAATTTCCGTGCTCGTGTTTGCAATCAAATTGATAACTGATATTTTTAATTTATTGGTGCAATTACAAGGTAACTATTCTACATTGTATTAAATAGTTTGCACAAATATATTTATTTTTCACTGTGTTTTGAATGTCCGCATATGGCAGCTAATTAATGAAAAAGTTCCTTAGCAAAGTAGTGCATTTTAAAAACGTTATTGTTACATGCATTTTTATTCGATTTTAATGAATCGTTGATTAAAATTCGATACGATTTCCTTCGATTTATTAATTTTATTAAACAATATATCGATACATATTCAAATACAATTGTGTTGAAAAGAAATGAATACGTAATATTTTAAAATGTAAATCTTTAACTTCTACTTGCAACTATTGTTATGTTAACGTAATATACATACTACATATCAAAACTTAACATACATGAAAGATTTAACACTTAGACAATTTATTTGGTAAAACGGAACGTATTACTAAAGCGCTCGTGAAATGATCAAATATGTTATCAAGGTACATCATATCATATAATAAATGTCTAAGATTTTTTCACCCTTTGGTTATTTGTCAGGCAGATAAAATATTACAATAAAAAAACAGTTTCTGATATAATTATTCCTTCTCACATTTAATTTGAAAATTTATCATGATCATGAAATAAGACTTTAAAAAGTCAAAAACTTGTCTTTGAAGATAATGATGAACTTAACCTTAACTTAATCAAACAACTCGAAGGCTTATTTTTTCCTTATCCTGCTTGTGTAAATGTACATCCGTCACGTTTACGTTTGAACTTAGATCATTTCAACATCTTACTTCAGAAACACATATTATTAGTAAATATACGCATTATTCAAAAGAAATATTTAAAAAGTATAGTATCAAAATTCGAATTCTTGGGTCCAACAAATACTTTTACTATTAAAATGAAAATGAATTCTTGCTAATTTATCAAGTTTAAGGTTTGTCATTTAAAGTTATAGATTTTTTTTAATAATACCTTTGTATTGTTACATACAGAAAAATCTTTCCTCTAACTATTTAAATTTGCATAAGTATTTCAATAAGAATGTTGAATGTGTCCTAATTAGACAAGATATGATTTTAAAACAAAAAACAATGACTATGCATACAGAATTATAAACTATTTTTTAATTATATGTGGTTGAAATAGCGGTCTTCCATTATTCTCTATATTGTATACTATTAATATTATTATTCATTTAAACATCGTAGCATGTTCTTGTAGCCGTCCGAATATTTCAAACGACTTACCTTATAATTGTCCTCTATATTTCATTAAATTATTAATAATTCATTAAAGTTTAATAAAATAGTAGTACATGTTGTAGCATGGAGCCGGTGATGTTACCCGTTATGTTACTAATTCGTCCAATAAAAAAAATATATAGCAAAAATTTTAATGACTTAAAAGGCGATAGTAATTTTTTTAATGAATGTAAACCTGTAACCTTTAATATGTAATTTTACGTGAAATGTACTTTCAAAACGTTAACTACGCCATACGCCAGACGTTTAAATTTTTTTTAAATATTTGTGATGCGATTTGATTCATGTAAAAAAATTATAGTAAAAAAATTGTCATATAAAACAACTTTCTATATCTTGTATATTAAAAAAAATGTAGTCATGTATATGTTCATAAACTATATATTTATGTTGGTAATTATGTATATTTAATATTGTAGTTTTCACTAATTCCATAGTAATTCATTCGTCCATGTCATAGTCACTAGCGGTTATTTCGGTAGAACTATTACTAGTACTTATAAAGTACTTACGATCGTGCATTATTAATGTAGATTAAAAATAAATTATACAAATTAAAAAAAAATATTCTAAACATATTATTACGAAGCAATATTTAATGGCCTTATGTAAATTAAAAAATGCACAATATTCGATTTATTTTTTTATTATTCAGTATTATTTTATGATGATTTTTACTGGCAACATTTTGTGATACTATTACTGGATTTAATTTAATTCCAATTTTAATGCGAGAAAAATAAATATCAACGTATATTAATGAAAAAATAAATATATTCTAATGTGTTTTTCTATTTTAATGAAGAAAGTTTTATGTCTGAATAAATATTAAAAAATCAATTTAAAAATATCGAAATACAAGTCCAATTAATTCTTGCCTCATAAGATGTTCTTTACTTGTAACATTATTTATGTTATCTATAATTTAATAAAAAAAAAACTTTTTTAAAAAATATTCTATGGTACATACAAGAAAATGTGCAAGGATGAAAAAAATGTTAATCATTTCTGCTAAACCTTGTTTTGTAATAAGTGATGTTTACATTTTATTAACCCGTTGTTATTATGCTTTAAGAACGTTGAAAGACTGTTGCTCGTGGTGTAAACTACCCTTAACATGCACTGATGCCTTTGCTTTCAACTTGATGCTATTTGTATTTGTCTATCAGAATTAACGTCTATTTCCACTAGACGAATATCCGCACGACTGCAGCGCATCTCATTCTACTAACAGTCTTGATCGCGGATGCTGAGTGGAAATAGGATTTTACTTGTCACTTATCAAGGGTTCGTAAAGTGTAAACTACTTACTTACTTACTGCGTTGGCGCAGCGGCCCAAAGTGGGTCTTGGCCTCCGACACGTTCCGAAAGTGTAAACTAAGCATAGATTATTCCATAGAGAAGATTGTAGATTTCTGACTTAATAGTACGGAGCCTAACTAAAATTCCAAAAAATCTAAATACTTGTTAATTTTTAGTAAAATGTGTAAGAAAAATGCCAATGTCAAATCCTGTTTGTAAATTTCTATATATTTGTATGTAAGGAAGTCTGTAAAATAATATGTATCAATTCCTATTATTATTTGTTGTACTTTTTACACATTTTTTGTCAAACAAATTGGTCTAATAAATGATAAGATATTAAGTAGGATGTAATTGTCAAAATCAAAATTTTAATTTCCTTGCCATCTTGTCTTGCCTTGTCTCGGACCACGAAACGCATATCGATCATTCAACTTGACAGAGGTAGCCAACATTTTCTATTATAACTACAATTTATTTAAAAAAAAATAAGATTAGTGATTTTTCATTAGCTTTTAATAAGTACATTCCAAATTTTTGCATTTAAAATTGGTTGAAAATTATCTTAAATATAAAAATGTTGGTTACCCCTGACTTACTGTTAATTCATTATTGTACCTTATCGATGTAAGACTGTATATTTTGTATATGTGATTTTATTGTGAGAAATCAAATATCTTGCAATTTCTATAATTTTGTTTTGTAATTATGAATGATTCGTAACGCAAAACCCCGGTTGTAAATGTTCACTGTAGATATTATTGGGTGTAAGCTATTCGAGAATCACTAGTTTTTATGTGGTTTTATAATATTTTACCTGTGACTTCAAAACTAGAAAGCGTATTAAATGCATTTGTATACCGATTTGTATTATGTAACATTACTGCTTAGAGGTCAAATAATTTGTGGTACAAATTGATTATTATACTACGAAATTGAAATATGAAGACAATGCAAGTCTGTCTGTTGTATCGTGCTTTAATTTATTTTATCTTATAGCTTGTATTAAAAATCTTTATAAAACAAACTTAACTATTGAATTTTAAGCAGTAATGTTTTAGTAGTTGAAATTCCTATTATTCAGAAATTTAAAAATAAATCATTTGTTTACATTGTTATTTAATTTCAAAACCCTAATCTTGCAGATAGCAGCGGTAAGTAGTTAACTTAACCCACCAACTTGTTATAGTACAAGCATTGGCAAAAAAACAAAGATTTTACTTATGTTGGAAAACAGATATGTGCATCAGTCTGCATCTTTAAAACGACCTAATAGAGAAATTACTAACCGTGAAAATATATTGCAATACCCGGCCACAAATTATCTTTAAAATCTGTGTTACCCTACTAGGTAATTTGTTCGACAAAAACATGAAACACAATGATTTTTCGTGTTAAAAAATATCAAAGAGCGTAAACTAATTCTGACTGAACAGTTGTAAAAATCGATAACTCCAATGTCATCACTACGCTGGTATGATTAACGTGCATCGGTAAAACAACGGTATGTGGTTATACGTCGTGGATAAAGACGGCTGTACACGTAACTTAATAGTTGGTGACTTAATGCTCCTATGTATATAAGGTAAAGGGTAATTAGTATCAAAGAATACAGCACATTTTACTACAATATTTCTTAATTACCTATTTCACAATTTTTTTTAAGTTGATTTAAGGTCCTTAGTTATCTTCAAAGATGCTTTATGGAGTGTGGTACATTAACTGGATCTTCTGAAGCTAGTATAGCAGTGTAATAAAGTGCCGTGTACAGCTAGCTTTATACTTGCGTGTACTGTACTGCGGCATTGTCTGACGCAAGCTAACTTGATGTCCAGATCAGTGTTCGCCGGCCCGACTAGCTGTACTGACGTGTCGCGACCTCAATTAAATATACGAACTAAATTACGAGTCTTTTCAAAAAGTATTGAGGAAGAATATTATAAATTTCATTTTTATTAAATAGTACTTCAAACTCTGCATGATAAACATCATAAGAAAATTTTGCACAATGAAACCACCGACAAATGTAAGTATATTTTTTTTATTATAATTCTTATACATTACACTAGTATACTTTTTTAAATTATTTAGAAAATTTAAGGTAAATTTAGTACTTTTTTATTAATCTGATGCAATATTAAATCCCCTAGGTAAATAGGTCATTAGGTTAGTTTTACTTGAATTAAAATTTAACGATTATAAAATTGTTACGTTCATTATTATTTAATTAGAAACAAAAACTTTGTGAAATCATTTGTTTTTTTAATCTGCATTTTAGTAATAGAAAAAATGAAAGTTCTTTTATCACAACAATCTCTAGAGAAAGTAAACAGTGATGTGAAAAAAATACCACCCTCATCTGTCAAATCTTTCACAATATCAAACGAAGTCAATAATCGATCTGTAATTGTTGCATTGATACGATAAAAATAGATAGGATCGATCCATTCCATCAATCCTATCGATCGTCCTCTAAATTATAGATCAGGATTTTGTTTGCAGTTCTGTTTCATAAATTATGCTAAATAAGTTGTAGGTTAAAACTGTTTGTCGTATTTACATACGCGAAAACAGCTGTAAAATTTTATTTGTAGATCGTATGTGTCACATTTAGAACTTCTTTAAAATCATGATTACACATTTTTTCAGTGCGGTCCTTTATTCACTTTACTAAGTTACTCTAAAAATCTACGCTTTGATACGATGGGATACGCTATTCAAAGTTTGAGGTCTACTTAAAAAAGCCTGTTACCATCACAACACAATTAGTTAATTTTGACAATTTCCTTATTTTTCATAGTAATATCCACTCTCTTAATGGTTACTCAAGCTTACTCGTGTTTTAGACGAAAAATGAAAAGAACAATAAATTTGATTAGAATGAAATAAATCATTCAATTGAATTCTTAGTCACGTGCTATCAATGAAGACACGTGCTTTATTGAACGATCAATCTTGAACCTAAACTGCGGCCTTCGGGGCTCTAACGGGCGACAGAAATAGACCCGCGGTGCTACATACGGCGACCGAAGTTCACAGTCAATTTAACTGTGCTATTCACACTTTTTTGCAAACACTCACGTGAGTTAGTAAAAAAAATTAAAACCAAACATGATACAAACTTCAAAGCATCGTTAATAACTAAACATAAGTGTAAGTGTTAGAATGTAATTTGTTTTTTTGCCTATTATGGTTACCATGCATTTTAGTATGACGACTTAAATCTTTCGATCGAAATCGATTGTTATTTGTCCATCCTAGTTAAACGCAAGAATATTTTCTTAACAACTACTGAATCGACTTGGCTAATTAATAATGAGTTAATTGGCACACTTCTGAAGAATGAAGATAAGGTTTGTAAGAAAATGTTATATGCAATTTTCAATCGCTCATTGTTAACATTGACCCTTATCCGTTGATAACAAAGCTTATTAGGAATATCAACTACTTGACTACTTCGTTGTTTTATTGTAATGTTAGTTTCACACGAAGGTTGTTTAAAACATAACTGTTAATGTTTAAAAACGCTAGTTCAGTCTTTATGGCCAACCTTTAATAGGAGTAGGAGCTTCCTTAGTCGAATATATACTATTAGCTTTCGCCCCCGACTCCGTCCGCGTGGAATTAAAAAAAACTGAGTAACCTGTTGGTCTTCCAGACTATCCTCTACATCTATGCCAAATTTCATCCAAATCCGTTCGGCCGTTTTGGCTACAAAGTCTAACAAACATCCATCCATCCATTTAAACTTCCGCATTTATAATATTAGTATGATATAATTCAAATACTCATCAGAATTAGTGTGGTGCCGAAGGCCTATTTTTAGTCCATTTGCTTTCCCACTATTTGCTTTCACGGAGAGGATGGGAAGGGAAGGTGGATTTGACTTTGGAGGAGTTGCTTAGGAATGGGAAATATCCTCTATGTGTGTCTCTTTCTCCATTGATTAAGGAAGAGATTAACGCATCAGCAATTGCGGATGTACATGGCCAGTGGCCGCTCACTAGTTTTCCACCTTATATTACAAAAAAACAGTGTGTGTAACGCAGTCTTACTCTGCCGTCATTGTTTTGTCCTCGTGTGAAACTGACATAAGATAATTGCGTTTGAATTGTAATTGTTCTATGTTTACAAACTGTCCGTTGTGACCGCAATGTGAAAGTCATTCACCTTTTTCTAACTAATTATATTTATATTTGTCCAACATTGTATGTCTAATTGATATTGAAAACTACGCACTACGATGCTAAGTAAAAATAAATAATGACTTTTAAGTAACTATCTTTGTTCTAAAATTGTATTAAAAAAAGAACACGTTTTACATAAACATATCAAATAGAAAATTTTCATAACAAATATTTCTAATATTACGTGTTTGATGGGAAAAATAACTAAAAAAACATTGAACCATATTTTTTACTTAGTCTCTAACTTAATGACTAAGAATAAGACTTATTTGTTATCAAACAAGATTAGAAACAAAGACACAAGGATTACTATCAGATTACAACTTGAAGAGCAAATCATAACCTTACAATGGCCATGCGGCTTACGTACGCTTACATTGTAAGAGGAAAGACTAATTGTTTGTTATCTGCATCTATAGAAACATTAATGTTTATGTACTCTATATGTTTCGAAACTACAAGCCCCTTAGTAGTATATTACGGCGATCATTATCTTCGCTGTTTGGGTCGATATCGGCATATCCGTAAACGTAATAGACTTGTCATTATTGTACTAAATCTCGCATGAAAACTTGACCAAGGTGATCGTTAATTTGGACAATCCTCTCGTAGCTATGGTGAAAAGGAGAACCGTTGCAAATTATGTGCTTTTTCAACTTTTAAAAAGTAACCTCAACATTTTAAAGGCTGATCTTTGTGTAACCCATTGTCTTGTTTTAAGGCGGCGCTCCTACACGATGTGGACATCCCGACTAAAAAGGCGACCTTCGGCATGGGCTGCTTCTGGTCGAATGACTCCTTGTTCGGAGCCACGCCTGGCGTGGTGCGGACCCGCGTCGGTTACTCTGGAGGCACCACAAAAAATCCACATTATAGGAGCATGTAAGTAAATACTCCAATTGTCCAAAAACAATTTCCTAACATTATAAATTAGGAAATTGTATTGTTCAGGTTACATTATTCCTAGCATGCAATGTGGAAAACTCACATGCACAAGGAATCTCAGTTAATTTCAGTGTTATAATAAAATCACAATTATTGTGGCCGACAGCGGTGCAGGGGAATATTAACTCTCTAACAAATTCTTTTTCCAGTATGTATGTAGTGTTTCTTTGCTCTTTCTGAAACTATCAAGACTATCTGCATACTTTTGTGCTTACTAATAAACCTTTAATCTCCTATAATTTTATATTTATCACCACTATCCGTATCTAGCATTATGATAAGCGATAGATACATAACGTGCAATAATTCCCATATAGCGAACACGTGCTTCTTTTATTTCTTGGATGAAATTGGAAACGAAAAAATGTAGCGTAAATTAGAAAATATACAAAATTCATCCCCGGAGTTATATTTACAAGAAATGCGTTTTAAAAAATGTGAAACATTTTTTAATAATTGTTTGCTATTTTTTTTTATCTAATGGGTCAAGGTCTCGTCTTTAGTAGTTTTTTTGGCTCTTCCGTCTTCATATCTTTCATTGTTAGATAACTTCAATGCTTCGTAATATAACGAGTTTTTTCAATGACACGTGCAGATACGAATGAATACATAAACAATTATTGCATTCAATCAATGAAATGCATGTTTTCATGACTTGCATTTCATATTTTCTTCTAATGCTTGTAATTCTGTGATAATATTGTGCAATTGACATGGATCATTGTTCGCCTTTTAACGCATTTTTATAGTCCATTTGTACATCCATCTAGATTGTAATTACTCAATAAGGATGCTAGGGGATAAACTGACTTACTATAGATTGTCATTTTTAATTTCTATTGTTTGTCGTGCACACTTAAAGAAACGTAAATTAACAGATATTTATAGACATGACACGTGTAAGCTAGAAACAAAACAAAAACGTCATGTTTTACTTTCTATGTTATTTTTGTAACCACAATTTAATTAATAATTAATAATAAAACCAACAGCATAATAATAAAACTAATTAACTATACTTTTTAATAATTATTAACATAATTATGTCAATTAAAAAACACTAGGCCAACTGGCTTACTCCCATCAGGCACAATTTTAGTCTAAATGATTGTTTTCTCATAGAAGTTAACAAGTTCACTACCTAAACGAGCATATTATTGTCTTCCTTATTATCAAAGATAATGAAAGAGATAGCGAAAACATACGCTAATATTTTAATTATAATTTTTTGTGCGTCGACGTCGATGTAAATTTCGGTGTAAGCCAAGGCTGCCGCCTTGGCCTTGCTCCGTACGCACCGCACACTAGACTCGATAGCTGTCTATTTATATCTCGTAAAACATTTTATTTAGGTCATCGTCATCTTTCATTTAAACGTAGATACGATTGTATTATTGCTAATCTGTGCTGTTTTCATATCTATGATTTTTTTAGTGTTATTGATTTTATGACCTTCTAGAAATCATTATAAAGCATATTTTTATCTGCTAGCGTTGTGTTTAAGTAAGGATGTGAGATAAAAAAAGTTAGAAACCGGTTTCGGAATATGTAATTAGATATCTGAAGAACATCAGCTAACATGTAGTTATGATTTTCACAGTGGTGACCACACTGAAGTGATCGAGTTGGATTTCGACCCGAAGACTGTGTCGTATGAGGATCTTTTGGACATGTTCTGGGCAAACCACGAGTACGGACTCACTACTAAGCTAAAGAGACAGGTTGGTTATATATTTGTTAGATATTTATTTTACACTAGGTTTCGCCCGCGACTCTGTCCGCGTGGAATTAAAAAACAAAACAAAAGTAAGTAGCCTATGTATTCTTCCAGGCATCTATGTCAAATTTCCCTCCATCTTTCGGATTTATAATATTAGTATGATTATCAAAATAAGAAATATGTACGTTTTGTATTTTTAATTATTTCTATCACTTGAAGAACTTTAGCTCCCAATACATTTTGTGGTTATAGTTATAGCAACTTGTTTTAAAATAATCCATTCCAAATTGATTTAAATTTAGACCTAATGAAAACAATACGAAATGTTAGTACAAACAGTTTAATAACTAATTAATAAATACATAACCTACGGGTCATTTTAAATTATAATATCTGATGTTTATATATGGTGGCATGGTTGCGTGCTGACGATGGGCGCTCTCGAAATTTCCGAGAAAATCTCTCGTCTTAAACCAGTCTGTATCGTATGTTTTTGTAGACCATGAATGATGTTACATCGAAGACATTAAGTATAGGATTGGTAACCTAACTTAAATTGTATTTCCTTTGTTATTAAATGTCACTAAAAGTACTGCAAATAGGTACTATCTATACTATATACTATACTATATATCTATATCTATACTATCTATACTCTATACTATTAAAATAAAGCGTAAACACACACTTCTTTGTTGCCTAAGATGTCAAAAATTACAGCATATTTTTGAATAATTCCTTTTTTAATAAAAAGCCCTACACTTACGTCACGCTTTAGGCTATATATTCTCACGCCATTAAACTTAGGGGGTAAATATTTTGGATAAAAACCCTAATGTGGGAAAGAAACCATAAGCTGTTGCCAACATCAAGGAAGCAAGGTTGCCATGGTTTGACATCATGTCAAGTCATTTTGACATTTGCAATTGATAATTTGACAAATGTGAATAATAAAATGTAATTTTTATAATTTCATGAGGAAGTCGCATGGGAACAGCTAGTGGTTACTAAAAAAATTGTCAAATGATGGTTTTATTGTCATTAAAATTTAAAAAATCTTTTAACTGTTGTTTGTAAGATAACTAAAATGTAATCATAGTAACAAAAAGCATTAAAAAGGTCAATGTATTTATATTGATAAAATTAAACAACAATATTACCATTTGACATTTTTAATAAGCAATATTTTTGAATATCTTATCGGTCCCTTTTAAAATAAACATTTACCTGCAAGTTAATGTTCAGTGGCAAATGTTATCTGCATTATTTATAAGACGAGTAAAAATATTTTAATACTGTTGATGGAAATTAACCTAAAAACGCATATTAAAAAACCGTTTCGTTTTTTTTTCAGTACCAATCTATGATCCTCTATCACGATGAGGAACAAAGGGGGGCGGCGGAGAGCTCGTACAAACAGATGCAGATCACTTGCAACGGACAGCTACGGACAGAAATCGCACCCGCTGGCATCTTCTACCCCGCAGAAGAGTATGTTAAACATTATTCCTATTAATTTGGTTATAACAAGTCTTATGTAAACTCTCTGCTCAATCGTAAATCGCATCCGAAATCACGGTGATGATGCCCGTTCAATAAATTTACTTGCTAGTAGTTTCATTATTCGACATTTTGCTTGTGGTATATTTAATCAACATTTAACCAATCGTAGTATTGCGATAATAATCGAAAACCTCATGTAATAATTACAAGGTGATCGATCACAAAGTATGTAAAATAATTCTCTGATCTGTTGAAAAACTATGTAGAACTCCTACCTCAGAGCTACATAATAGTGCTAACTCCAAAATCGTAGTGTCGTCTCCTAGTTACATATATAGCAAAGAATCCTTCAATTCAATTGAATAGGCCACGACTCCTTAGCGACAAATATTATGAACGTTTATTTGCATACTAAGTATGCTTAAATATATTGCAAAAATTATGTCAAGGTTTACTTCTATCAATTGAAATCATTGAGCTGTAATTAAAATGGCTGCCATCTTTTTCCCCTTGTATTGGTGACATATTTAATATTACTTGCTACGGACTATTACTTGACTATTTTATGCTTTCGACCTTTATTACTAAGTATCAAATTTAAATCTTTATGAATGTAAGATTCTAATATGGTTTTTGTTTTGATATTATGCAAATTTACCTAGAATTGGTGTTGTTTAATTGACAAAGTTCACTCGTACTTTGTTCTACAAATACAAAATGAGGGCTTGCTGAATTTTCCACTTATTTTATCCAAGTTTCAACGTAATAAAACTCAAGTTACGTAGTTCGGAAACTCATTTAATGATGTTCGAACCAATAACACTAACGAATGGTTAAATGCAGCTAGGAATCTGGCCAAAAATCAAAACTAATCTAAGTAGGTGTGTTCTTGAATCAAATCAAACAAATTGATTCACACATAAAACCTTTTTGCATACGCAAACAATTGTCTCGTTTCACATTTGTGGGTCTTCTATTGTCTTTGATTGGAACGATCCCGAGATCAAATTAATCAGTGTACGCTCTACTTTCAATTTCGTGGCACAAATCATTTTGCTCACTCGCACAATTGAGGTCAATAAGGCCGTTTCAATTTTTGCAACGAGAAAAAATTATAGTGAAACCAGTTTGTACGTTTTTTGCTTCACAAATTATTAAGTACTGATGCCACTGTTTCGAATAAGAAAGCAACCAAATTGTTTTTTTTAATGATTATATGAGAAGTAAAACAAGATATTACAAAAAAGTGATGTAAAAATGATGAACTTACAATTTTTAGCGAATTAGCGATCCTTTAAATTTCGCTTCCAATTTGATTTTCATCAGTTAAATTGTTAGGAATAAAAATTATTTTTTTCAAAACCTTATAAGATTTTATAAAAATACTACAATATTGATGTTTCATTTAAAAAAAACATTTTTTTAGACGTTTTATTTTAATTTGGTTTGAGCTAATTATTTTTTTGAATTTGTGCAAATAGTTATCTTTCGTACAGAATACGATGACGAAAACTGTTTTGAGGTTATGTTAAAGTACCAAGCAATAACCATCCATACTTTATTTTACAGTTACCATCAGAAATACAGATTGCAAGGTCACAAGGACCTCTGCCGTAGTATTGGTTTAGACTCAACCAAGTTGCAGACCTCTCACCTCGCAGCCAGACTTAACGGTTACCTGGTGGGCGTGGGAGGGAAGACGCAGTTCGAAAAGGAGGTATCC